GTTTATTACACTCAGCTACAGTGTGAACTCAGGTGGGACTCAGTCAATTGCACAATGTCAGATTAAAAACCCTCCTGCAAATCCAGACTGTCAATTTTTCAGGAACTTGAGGGGGGAAAGAAAAGAATCAGCTCGGTAAAGAGGATTGAGTTCCTTCGGCTGAAACTAACAAATAAAAAAATAGAAAAAGGAGGTGGGTTTTCACATGAAAGCAGCTATACGTTATGGAGAGAACTATTTCTAAATCTTATCCTTTAAGCACATTTAAGAGCTGTGGAGACGCAGACACTGAGAGTGCGAATGACTTTGCTCCATGGTCACAGCTCATAGAGAACTTTATCCGGCCTGTGATGTGTATTCTTCCATAAAAGAAACACCGTGGAAAAGTAATCCTGTTTGGATGAATTCACCCCCGGATCAAAAGTCAGCAGAAAACCCTTCAACACTTGTGGAGACAGTGGGTGACAAAGGCAGTGAGACCAGTGGCTAACTAGTGGACTATGTTTAAATTGGGGGATTTTAGACTATATACATTCACGTCACAGAGGACCTTATAGCCTTCTCTAAATCAGGACAGGGACTTTGGGCCACTAATTACGCATTTCCTCCTCACATCTCCAAACACAGCATCACTTGTGACCTTATCTCTGTGCCTGTCAGAGCGTTAGCATTCACATGGCAAGTGTGGCGATGAATGTAATTACTGGAGCCCAAAATAATAACACCACCGTCTTTGAGCAACCAGCAGCCAGTCAATTGTAATAGGACCCCCACATCCCCACCCCCCTCTTCCTCCTCCCTCTCCATCTCCTCCAAATCAGTGGAGACAAGGACAAAAATAGAGTTATTAGAGTTCCTGATCTATGGGAGAAACACATACAGAATACATTATAGAGAAGGAAGAATATTAATACTTCAGTGAATTTAATCTCTCATGAAAACACTTACAGTAATCCTATTATGAAGTTTATCGCGACTCCATAACTTTAAAATGATGTGCAGCCGTTATAAGAGTCACAGCGCAGAAACTCATAGAAATGAAAACAGCAAACACCTTGTTTCTCAATTGTTTAATGAATGTATACTCGGGTAGAAAAGCCTCCAAAATATCTCCATATTTTGTGCTTCTGTTTAAAAAGTGATTTTTTTTTTTTAATTTTATTTAGTAATTTATTTCTATTTTTGCTTTTCATGTCTCAATCTGAAAATCAGTCAGAGTGGCCTTTACATTTCTGCACAGGGCAGTAAAGACGTTTCATCTCCACCTTCTTAAGTTTGCAAACAATTTAAATTATTTTAAAAAAGAGGACAACACCATACACACCAACTAATGAACCCTAGCAAGTATACATATGTATAGGGAGTTTTACATTTTGTGTGTGTGTGTAAATTCAAAAGGATTGTAGCTGAATGTATAAATACTGAATCTGATATTGAAAAGTAATTAAAATTTTCATTTAACAAACAAATTGGAAAAGACAACAGATAATATCAATACATTGTGACATTAGGTATGTTCTTTTTTTGGCCTTTTATTGCCTTTAATTGATAGTGACAGCTGTAGAGGGACAGGAAAGGGGGAGAGAGAGGGGATGACACACAGCAAAGGGCCACAGGTCGGAGTCGAACCCCTGTGGTCACTGCAGCGAGGACTCAGCCTTGGTACATGAGGCACCGGCTCTACCAGGAGAGCTGCCAGGGTGCTTCAACTTTTTCCCTTTAAATCATAAAAAACTAAAATGTAAAAAGTCCCTCTCCACTTGAAAGTACATTTTTGCTGATTGTTACTTCGATAAGATTTTTGACAGTTTCTCTGACCTCACATTAAATCTGAGTTTAAAGGTCCAGTGTGTAACATGTCGGAGGATCTACTGGCAGAAACTGAATATAAAATTATGTTTTCATTAGTGTATAATCACCTGAAAATAAGAATCGTTATATGTTTGTTACCTTAGAATGAGCACTTTTTATCTACAGACACCATAGGTCGCCTTCCATGTTGAACCGCGATGTTTCTACAGTATCCCAGAATGGACAAACCAAACACTGGCTGCAGATAGGGCCTTTTGCATTTTTATCGAGTTCTGCGGCCACCGTAGTTTCTCCACAGGTCGTTCTCATTCCCAGTTTATCAAATACAGATGCTATTAGTGTTCAGTTAATTGCAATCTATCAACTTCACTGCTAGATGCCACCAAAATCCTACCCACTGGTCCTTTAAGGCGTTTACATACAAGATGATTTTCACAACTACACATCACAACTAGTTTGAGAGCCAATCATCGGTCCACTTTGCAACTTAAAAAAGTGTGAGGTGGAGCCTTAAAACAGTGCACATACACTGAGAATAAACCTTTCAGTGAATCTTGTGTCTATTAGTTAAAATTCTGAATGCTGGACATTGCATTGAGGGAGAAGGGGTAGATGTAATTTCAAGAAATATATATATATAATTATTATTATTATTATTGAAACAGATGGCCCTTTTTTCCTTTTTATATACAGATATTCCTTGTTTTTTTATTTTGTTGTGTGCGCATTTCTCATGTATTAATTTCTGTATTAATTTTACAGCGTACTGTTTCTTGGATTATTTCCTATATAACAGTTATATCCAGATACAATGTCTGTGTCGTTGTTAACGTGAATTAAAAACTAATCCAAAAATCTACAAACAGTACAAAAATTAAACGGAGCAATGTCGCCATCTTGTGGCAGTGCAAATAAACTGAGAATAAACCTTTTTAATGAAGTAGGAGACATCTTGTGTCTGTTAATTAAAATTCTGACTGCATTGATGGAGAAGAGGTAGATGTAATTTTAAGAAATATATATGAATATTGAAACAGATGGCCCTTTTTTCCCCTTTTTATATTTATTTATTTTATCTATCTTGTTTTTCAAATTTTGTGCATTTCTTATGTATTTATTTTACATTAATTTTAGTTATTTCTTTGATTATCTCCCATATAACAGTTATATCCAGATACAATGCCTGTGTTGTTGTTGAAATTGAATTAAAAACTAAAACAGTAGAAAATTAAACGGAGCAATGTCGCCACCTCGTGGCTGCAGCTGGAACTCCTCCACGCTGACTGTGACCCGGAAGTAGACGAGTGTGTTTGTCTCCCTCCTTGGCACGTGGGGAGCAACAGCACTGACCAACATGGCCGCGTGCAGTGTGGAGGAGCTGCTGGCTAAAGCGGAGCGAGAGGAGGCCGAAAAACTGAAGAGCATCTCGGTCCACAAAGAGCTGGACCTGGACTTTGACATCGGGAACCTGCTGGCTTGCGACAGAAACCGCATCGAGGCGCGGGACTTCAGGGAGCAGAAGAAAGAGGACTTCCTGCGGTCTTTAGCTCGAGACAACGCGCAGCTGCTCATCAACGAGATCTGGAAACAACCCACGGAGCGGGTCGAGGAGGCGATAGTGGTCAAACTACCGGAGTCCGCCACCCCGCTGCCCAGAGAGAAACCACCCCCGAAACCAAAACCACCCACGAAATGGGAAGAGTTCGCCAAGCTGAAGGGCATTCAGAAGAAGAAGAAGACCAACTTGGTCTGGGATGAAACCGCGAAGGAGTGGAAGAGGCGCTGGGGCTACAAGAGGGCCAAGGATGACACCAAGGAGTGGCTCATAGAGGTGCCGGAGACCGCAGACCCGAATGAGGACCAGTTCGCCAAACGCGTAAAAGCCAAGAAGGAGCGGGTGGCCAAAAACGAGTTCAACCGGCTGAAGAACATCGCCAGGGCGCAGAAGATCAAAGTGCCAGGTGTGGGTCTGACCCCGGTGGCGCAGCAGTCCAAAGACGACCTGTCCAAGGCTGTGAGCGTGGCCAAGACCTCCACAGCGTCCGCGGGCCGGTTCCAGGACCGCCTGCCCAAAGAGAAACCACCGAGGAACACGGGCAAGAGGAGGAAGTTCGAGCCCCTCATCGGCAACTTCGGCACCGAGAAGCAGAAGCAGCTGGAGCTTCTCAAACTCATGGGCAGCAAGAAGCCCCGGTTGGACATCACCAAGGCCGTCAACAAACAGATGAGGGAGGAGGACCGAGAGGAGGCCGCGGCTAAATACAAGAAGGGAGCCGGGAAGAAAGGACGCAAGGGCAACATGTCGGGGAAAGGCAAAGGGAAAGGTGGGAAGG